AATCATCTGTAATATACGTCACTAGAAAAAAACTTTATGGCCCCTTCTTGTGATAAATCGTTATCTGATTCTGCATTCTTTAGGGTTTACTGCATCCTTTGACCTCCAACTGCGCAGCAAGCAACTTTTCCAATTGCTTTGACCAATGCTAAAACTATCAGGTGGTTAGTCTGACGGAAAAATATCGGTAGGAAATTTTCATAATCTTTTAACCATTTTGGAAAGAAAAAAAAATTACTGGGCGCTTTCTTCGTATTTATTTTTCCACTTTCGTGCATCTTTCTCCACTCTAATAACATTCGCATTCATTCGTTCCATTTCCCGTTTGAATTTGTCAAAAGTTTCGTTTGAACTGTTCAAACTCAAATGCAATTCATTGTACTTCTTTGTATATTTGTCAATCTGTTCACGCATTGCTTTTTCACCTTCCAGCGCTTCTTTCACTTTCATTTCTCGCGCAAGGAACTAAATCAAAAAAATATTGAAGTAAATCAGGCGAATTTCAATTTCCTTTAGATTTCGGTTTAGATGTCGTAATCCGGATATATAGAAAATCGAGGGGCATAACCAGAATTATACATCGAAATTATACATCAAAACCAGAATTATACATTAAGGAAAAAGTAAAGACATTGCTTTTCCTAAGGTAAATCCTATATTATGCAGAATTTACTTTAATTATCGCCAGTGGATTAAAAAAACCGCAAACGGCTAGTGGTACTTACTGCAGCCCTCTTCCCTTCCCCTATCCTTCCCTCTCCCTCCCCCTCTCCCTCCACCCTCGCAACTCATATAAATCAAAACCCACCACTGAAATAGAAAGTTATAATAAGAAGGAATGAAATAAAGAAAGCAATGAAAAAAGAAAATAAGAAATGAAAATCAGAAAATTCGTGGGATTATTATAACAATAGGATTTTAAAAAACATGTTCCGGCTATAAACTATGCCAGACAGTCAAACTGTCTTTGGCCCAGTTCCCAGTTTCTCCCTTCCGCCCCCCCCCCCCCCCCCCC